AGATATTGAAGGAAACAAGTTGGAACATAAATACCATTAGAAATGTGTATTCCTCCAATTTTGGCATTCAATCTACATTTCGATTTAAATGAGAGTAATCTGGTCTGAAAGCTATCAGAATGAGGTCTAATGTCAAATGTTTGATGGAAAATCTAGTCTCTTACTTGAACTGGGAAGAAGATCCAACTCTTTTAATCAATTATTTTGGTAAACCTATGAAAACCTGTGATCGACCCAATGCTGTTCATAAATTGTTAACCGAGGTTTTTGAAGATCCTGAACTTGCGAATCTCTTTTATTACAACGACGTCAGAGTTATGATCGATATATTAATCTCACATCTCAATAATATTCAAGACGAAGATGAAAATCGTTTCTCTTACCTCAAATTACTCTATAATATAATCAAAAATACTAATTACAAAGAGGAGCCACATAAACTTATCGAAGTCAACCAATGTATAGATGCAATCTATTCCCATGAGTCAAGTCCTGATAATGAAAAACGAATGGTCAGGATGATCAAAGAATTGTTAACAGCAGAAACAGTTTGAATCTCTACAATTAGATTACTCTAAGTATGAAAATTGATTTCATATATTATTCCGGTGAAGGAGATGAGTCCAAGGTGTTACTAAAAAAGTAATATAATTCCATATCGCCAAACCTGTTTTGTAATCCAACAACGATGAATAATAATCGTCAATTAACGAATTCTATGTCCTCAAGTTTCGATTGATTGGAAACTCAATTTGTATAATATCGGAATTCACTGTGTATAAATTGCATTATGATCTTCACACAATTGGAAGCTTACTAGCCATAATTGCACAATTCAATTTTTCCCATGTACATTTACTTTCCACAAACCTTTCATCTAATCAATGTGAATGGTTCGAAAGATAACGCTATTGCTCAAATCTGGATCAAAAGGTGGTTTATAACGCAGACCCGCGTTGAAAAGACTTAAAGACAAAAAATGTTCCTTTGGATATGTCTGGAATACGAACAATTAAAAAAATGAAAGTCCAATTACGTTGTCCAGTTATTTCACTAAATTAATTCTTATTTATGTGAAGAATCGTAATTAGTTATCATTCTCTCTACCAAGCTGTTATCTGTTAAATTAAAGATGGTGATGGGTCTGGTGCCTTTGGGTCCATGGAAGTGTTTAATTTAGTTTACTTGATAGCCCACCTGATATTTAATTGAAAAATAAATTCAATTGTATCAATAAACTATGAATTCAAGAATAAGAATCCGAAGTAAATTTTTAAAGGGAAGATTTCGATTTAAGAAAGCCGCACAAATAAAATAACTTGATAGGACATCTACTTTCATTTTTTCAATAGTTTTTCTTCGATTTAAAGAGTTTTAAAAATAAATTTAATGAACTGTTCATTATAATAAAAGCTAATAAACTGAAATAAATTATAATAGCTTATTTGATCCAAACATACAAATCAACACTCACTTGTCAGTTTGTTTGTCAGCGACTTGCCCTCAAGATATGATTGTAACATTGATTATCAGAGAACAGCAGCCATTGATCGTACTTTTAGCAAATTGATAAATAAAGAATCAATAAGTAATACAATTAGGAACTAACAAAATGATTTGATTATAAATGGATACAAGAAACCGAGCAGCAATGGATAGCATCTTTTAAATGTCTTAAATCATATCGATATTTTTTTCAGTTTATCGATGATATTTTTTGTAAAAATATCGATATATATCATCGATTTCGATAATATCGCCCAACTCTATAAAAAACAGCTTAAATTTTAAAGATGACCAAATTTCTTTTAAATAATTTCAAATGATGACTATGATGACCTTTGTGTTGTGATTTTATTTACTTTCATCTAGTCTAAACGTTTTTCTAATTCCATTCATCAAATTAATCGTCAAAGAGTAAGGAAGAACCTTACTCTTGGTTTCTATCCAACATCAATTTTATGAGTGTTCATCTTTAAATTACTCTATTCTCATTTGTATTTCTTTTTAACCATCTTTAGTGATCTTATATTTTCAAATTTTCTTCTCGTATCTTTGTGTACATATAACCTCAACCTTGTTTTGGTGTATTTTAAATGCTATCTTCTTTAATTGTCTGGGGTTTATCTTAATCTTCATTCGCTTTCGTTTGAATTTGATTGTGATAGAGTTGTTTCATTAATGTGAATGAATTTTCTTTGAGCTATGAATTGTTCAGCATCTGCTGGCCAAGACTCTGTTTCAGGTGCAACCTTATTGAATCCCTCAACCACCGGAAAAGAAGAAACAGTTAAATGTCAATTTGTGACTCGTGAGGGAACTTATAAGCTATTTAAAGGTGATAATTGTAGAACCACTGTTGTTGGTTATACGCCGCAAACCAATACACCGGTTAAGTGTTCATTCAGTGGTGATTTAATTTGTTTCAATGCAGCCAAAGAGCTGTATGTTTGTAACTACAAAGGCATTAAAAATGCAACCGACCTCAATAATCCAATTGACAAAAGAAGTTATAAAGGACTATACCCAACATGTCATGATTTCAATGTATTTGCTGACAATGTACATTTACTGGTTGGTCTATCTGCTGGCCAGATTCAATTAATGGATCCAATCAAAAAAGAATTCTGTAAATTGTATAATGAGGAGAGAGTTATAGATAAGACAAAAGTGACTTGTATCAAATGGGTTCCTGGTTCTATGAATCTTTTCTTGATATCACATAGCAGCGGACAATTATATGTTTATAAAGAGGATCTTCCTTGCGGATCAACAACACCACATTACCAGTTGTTTAAACAAGGGCAAGGTTTTGCCATCTACACTTGTAAGACGAAAAGCACTCGTAACCCTTTGTACCGCTGGGTTATCGGCGAGGGCTCAATCAACGAAATAGCATTTTCACCTTGCTCCAAATATCTTGCAACAGTTAGTCAGGATGGTTTTCTGCGTGTTTTCAACTATGATACTATGGAACTTGTTGGACGAGTAAGAAGCTACTTTGGAGGTTTGTTATGTATTTGTTGGAGTCCAGATAGTAAATTTGTTGTTGTTGGCGGTGAAGATGATCTTGTTACAGTGTGGTCTTTACAAGAGAAAAGGGTGATTGCTCGAGGCCAGGGTCACAAATCTTGGGTTAATGTTGTCGCCTTTGATCCTTATACTACAACGGTTAGAGATGCTGTTGATAGTGCTAACGAAGCATTTGGTGAAGAAAGTGAAACACCAGCTACTAGATCGGAAAATATTAGCCATTCCTTGAATGATTCAAATCATTTACAGCATCACTCATCAACTAGCTCATCATCAACTATTCCATCATTGAATAGAAATCACTGTGGCTCACTGAGTTCAACAATCATTCGACTCACCTAACGTGTAATACTGTTAATAAATCACCAATCATCAACAGCAGTCGTAACTCACCTTCGTCAATTATCACTTCTTACCGATTTGGAAGTGTTGGTCAAGACACTCAACTCTGTCTTTGGGAATTAACGGAAGACATTATTAAACAACCTGTTGGTCGATCGCGAACAAGTATTTTACTTCATAGTCCAACAAATGGGTCGCAACATCCTCTCAATTCTTCATCGAGTCATGTATCTAGTTCGGCACAGCAATCCGCTTATTGTTCCAATTTAACTTCTACCGATAAATGTCACAATACATTGTTACCATCCCAGACAGGAAACTGTTTACCCAATAATTGCAATTATTTGGATCCTGATGTTTACACTGATCATACA